TGAATGATCAAATGACATGGAGTTAGAGCAGTGAACACGTCAAGCTTGAAAGCAAGTCTAGTTACAGGGGTAAAAAGCTGTCTGTACCTGAGCTTTAGGGGAAGGAAGACACCAGGCTATTTTTCTCTCATTCATGCCATTCTTCCAGCAGCTTTTGTGGTGTCTGTATAATGCATCCCTTCAGACACCCCTGAGTACTGCTCTCAGAAACAGTGTGATTCATTCCTGGAGCAGCACATCTGAGATGCAGTTTTCAGGGCTGTTTGAAAGAATGAAATGGCTTCAAGCCTCCTCTATAGATGTAACCCATCAAAGGCTCTCCCCTGAGAGCCCCCCTGGGGAATTCCTCAGCCCAAAATCCCAGCTCTATAGCAGAGCTGATTATCAATGGCCCAGATGGAGACAACAGACACTTAATGGATCTAGAAATCTCCCCAGGATGGTTGTTCAGCTGAGCCTCAGACTGAGCTTCCATTGTGCGATACAACCTGCCTTATCTTTATTACAGAGTCCCAGACACGAGGGTGTAACATGGGCTGATGCCAAGAGCCAGGCACGGGACAGTTATCAGAAAACATCTAAGTGGTTTGGGAAGTGGGTTCGTTCCAACTCACATAGGCACTTCATGCTGAAGAGCCCATTTATGATGGGGCCGATCTAGCAGCTTTCTGCTTCTGCTAAGAAAGGCATTTCTACCACTCCCTCGCCTCTCCTGGCTTCATGCTCACTCTGGCACTTGTCCCATCCCTTACCGGGCCATCTTAGATCCCTAAACTGTCAGAAAATGACCAGCCACAGAAAGTGAAGAGTTTTTGAATCAGCATGGCTAAAGCTGGACCCAAGCCTGAGGCAGTGTGAGGGTGATGCAGCCTGGGGCTGGGCAGCAGGACTGCCGTGCTCCCATCAGAGACCTGCGAGAGGCTCAGCCTTCTTCTCTGCTCGCACGTCAGGAGCTGTAGTTGCTCTCTAGATCATCTCTACCCTCCACAGAGAGGGAAGGGCTCCTTCGGTGGACGATTCAACTGCCATAAGGTCTGAATTGCTCATTCTCTCCACTGGCTGCAGGGTGAACTGTCATCCCCAGGCTCCAAATTCAAACTTCAGTCTCATGCATCAGGTGTATTGGGATGAAAAGGGACAGTATTTTCCATTTGACTGAAAATGGGGCTTAAACTTTTTAGAAAATGTTACTGTTTGTCTTCAGCTCTCCACCAAATACACAGCCCCTGGCATTTCAAGCTGTCTTCCTCTCCAGACACTCCTTGGGTCAGAAATAGGCATCAAGGTCTCCAGGCAGAGTAACAAATCAACCTGCACTGCTGAGCAAATACCACTGCCACGGGCTCCTGTGGAAGTTATATATGCTGAGTACACAGCAGGAGCAGGGCCATTGCAATAGGAACTGCTAGACAAACTTTGGTGCTGGCAAAAAAGCACTTTGGCTGGTTGGGTAGGAACCAAAGTTACAAATTCAGAGCTGATAATGGTCACGTTCTGCCAGGAGAGATCCTGCATCGCACTCAAGGCTAATAGGATTTTGTCTGTAGTCGCTGTGCAAATAGGTGTAAAGCTGGTAGTAAAGTCTGGAAGGAGAAGCAGGTTAGACCTTGTTAGCAGGTCGCTCACCTGTACCGTTAACTTGTAAAATGGGGGTCTCTGCAGAAAGCTGGTGACAACCCAGAGACTGTGGCTGTCCTAGAGCAGCTGATTACTACAATTAATGATTTATTTCATGTAGCAGCCCTTAGGAGTAGGAATAACTAGCTGTACCTGCAAGGCTAGACCCACTGAGGGAAGCACGATATGTATGTGAAACCTAAGTGGTGGTGGAGATGTAAGAGAGGAGGCTGCTTCGTGTGCTGTGAAACAGGCAGAAACCACAGGTGGGTTAGGGAGCAGTGAGTCACTGGAGATGCTTTTGTGCTGGGTTGGGAAAAGAAAAAAGGGAGAAAGAGAAAGTAAGAGAGACTGAGGGGGCGTTTATGGTAAATCTATAACATAAACCTAAAGTTGCTGTAATCTAAAGCTGATCTGTGCTGCAAATGGAAGGAAAGAAAGGAGGAAGATAATACACAGGGATTACAAAGTGGAGTTGTCTTTGGCGAAGACACTGTCTCTTCACACTAGCTTTAGTTCATGCAACTAAAGGCAGCACTCTAATGGTTGTACTACACCTTGTGCTTGTGCTGGTATTGCACTGGTACACACATGGTACCGTGGGGCCAGCTCCAGCTTCTGGGTGCATCGCAAGGACTCTGCTTAGTAAGCTGTGTAACAAGAAAGCCTTTGCCGCTACATTTGCTTACCTTTGTTTTGCTGTTGCTCTATTTGCAGCCTAACTACTGCAAGCCTGATAAATAAATATTTTGCTGTGTTGCTGTTGATCTATCTGGTGTTGCAGGATGAAACTGATTTTGGGTCAAAATTACGAAGTTAAGCTGCAACACCTTTAATACACCCACAGCAGAGAGGTGAGGACAGGGGTCCCTGGGCAACATGTTTAGCAATGCAAAGAGTGAGCCACAGAGAGCTCAAAGGAAATAATTGCATTTCTAACTCCAGAAGATCACGACTGCTGTCTGAGACAGGATGGGGCTCTGGATGGCTCTCTGATGGGGCTTCTTCCAGTAATTCCAGTGGCTCCTGCCCTTGCCTAAAAGGAACTCGTGACAGTAAAAGGCAGCAGGAGTTACCTGAGGCTGCAGTCTGGTCAAGAATGCACTGCTGGTCAAGAATGGGACTGCCAGGGAAGGCACAGAGATTTTGGGGGATTTAAGTTAATTTAAAGGATGCAGGGCTGGTGCTTTACTGGCTGGCTCTCCCCAGGCTGGCTAACTGTCAGCGCAGGGGCTGCGCTTTGGGGTTAGTGGATGATGCTCTGTGCTCCGTGTCCTCACCCAGCATCACCTGGTTCACACGCTGTGCAGGAGATCTCCGCGTGGGCACAAGGGACTGAGGACAACCTGGCTGCGAACCCCCTGAGGGGCCCGGCTGCCCCAGGAATGCACCCGGAGCGGTGTCAGCGCCTGGCAGGTGTTTTGTGCTCGGCTCTGTGTGCTCAGGCAGGGGAGCACGTAGCAGCGCGGCTCCAGAGCGAAACACGTACCAGACGCATTATTGAGACAGGAATTTCTTGTCATCGCAAGAGCTTGACTTACCTTTGTCATTTTAATGCATTGCACTCATTTAAAAAAGCCTCATTTAAAAAAGCCCAATATACTTCCCCCTGGCTTTTCAGAGATAATTTAAGTCTTTTTCTGAAAGGACTTTTTATGATTTCAGTGGCTCCCAGGGCGAGGATGAAATACCAGTAGAGCGGCAGCAACACGTAATTTTTGCACCGTAGGGTGCTGCTGGTCAAACAAAACCCTGCAGGAACATTTTCCACGAGGCACAGAGCATGTGCCATTGCAAGTTCTCATGGCAGTGCCCACATTCCGACCCTGTGCCAGCCCCCATCCTTCTTGGCTGTCTTCAGCCCCTCTGCCTCTTTGCTCCCTGGAGCAGGTAGGGTTGAGTCATCCTAGGCATGCTCTGGGGGAAACCGTTGCCTCCAGCCCATTTCTTGGAAACTAATTAAAAAAAAAATTCCAGAAATGTTGCAACACACTTGCTTCTTCTGGGTGGCTGTTGTGCTGTAACATCTTCACACCATGTAGGGAACTCCAGCATGCACCCAAGCAGCCGTTTGCTCTGGGACCATGCTAACCATAACTGTGCCCACTTCCTTCCTTACCTCTTTGCATTTGCAGCTGAGGACCCATATTTGCTGACTAATATCCTTTATATGATCTAACCTTTGGGGTACCTCTAGCCTTGTGCTTCATGATCATGTAAGACAGATCTTCCTTCCCTAAACAATCTTTTTCCATTGTCTGTTTATTCCCAGTATCCTCCTGAGAGTCACTGTTCAACCAGTTAGATCTCAATTCCTTCTGTTTAGGATTTAAACCTTTATGAGTGATCCAAGCTCCAGATGTTTCATGTCTTTGACTTAAAAGAATTTTTTTCTCCTGTCCTGTTCCCCTTCTGAAGCCTGCCAGGTCAGGCTGCTTCATTACCTCCATTAACTTCTTCCCACTGTCTCTTAGAAGCTGCTCTTGCAAAATGAAGAGTCCTCCCAGAAGTTTCAAATCTCATTTTGTCTTCCCATTCCACTCGTGAACTCACTCATGATCACTTGATCCAAGCTAATTTTCCATGGCTAGCTATTACATGTCCTCTACTCCAGACACAAAGTCTGAAATCACATCCCTTCTGGGCAGTTCAGAGCTGCCTTTATGAAGCAGTTTACGGGCTACAACCCCCAGGGATACACGGGCTTTACCACTATTAACAACCTTTGATCTCCACTTGACATCAAGAGAGTTCAAGTCTCCCATAACAATACTCTTTTTCTCTCTAGTGACATGAAGATCTCAAACCCTACCCAAAGCTGAATGCGGAGGTTTCTAGTAGAATTCAAAGAAGCCTTTTGATTTCCCTGTGTCAGCAGAGTCTTTGGAGGGTCACAGTGCTGCCAGCAAAGGACCTTGAGGTCTCGGGGAGGAGGAGGTTATAGAGGAATGCCAAGCACCTTTTCCCATGTATGTGTTCTTGCACACACATGCATGGGTTTGTAATTTGAAACTCTCTTTACTTCTGGACAGGCTTTGCAAACTGCTTAGACCACATTCTCCGAGGTGTTTAAAGAGGGTGGAGTATGCAGTATTTATTTAGGTACTCTACAAACCTTCATAAGAATCGAGTGCTTGTAGCGATCGCAGAGAGCAAACAGAAAGCCAGCTGGCAGAGACTGAACAGTGCCACCGCATTTTTATTGCTTCTAACCCCCCCCCTCCAAAACCAGATTATTACTAAAAAATGTCTTTTTTAATTTCATTTGTCTCTGATCCTGCATTAATCTGTCTGCTGTGTGCAGCAGTATTATTAGCTGTGCTCTATTTTTCAACTGGCTATAAAAATTCAGCTTTTAAATTACCTCCTGGTCCAATCGATCATTGGTAACCTGCACTTGGTGGATCTTAGAAGGCAAGATAAATCCCTAATGAAGGTAGGACAAAAAACCCCAAACCCAGACCCTCATGCATTTTAAAACTGCCTGGGATATGTTAGTAAGAATTTTTTGTCTTTTTTAATTCAAACTAAATTGCAAAGGTGTGAAAATTGCTTTATGATATTTTTTCTAGGCTTCTTCTAACCAATGTCTGTGTCGATGCAGTGTCATTTCTGAGCAATCAACCGTTAAAAAAAGACCTCTGGGTAATACGGGATTTCTTCATGTAATTGTGATGATGTACATGAGGTATATTATGCTTGTGGGATTTTAAATATTAATTTGACAGCTTGGACACCCAGAAATCTTTTAAAGTATTAGGACATAACTAACATGATATGAAATTACTTCCCTCCCCTCCACTGCAGAGAACGGGCAGGGGGAATTTCACGATGCAGCAACCCCGCAACTGCTTTGGAAAGGGCCAAATCCAGATGCCCCATTGCAAAAATCCCCTTCCCTCTTGAGGAATTGGATACACATTAAAATCTAGACGGCAGTGCAAGAGAGGGATGGAAAAGTTGCTAAGGAACCAGAATGGATAGCCTGTAAGCGCTTCTATTAACCTGTAATTAAGACAACTTACCCCACTTATGGTGCTAAACTGTTCTGTGGAGCAAGACGAGGCTGGCGCAGCCCGGGGTGTTTATGTCGGGCTGCTGTGTGCAGCAGGCAGCATCCTCGGGCATCGACCTGTGCCAGGGTCAGGGCGAGTGAGCAAACAGCCAGCGGCAGTTCGCGACCAGGCGTTGACACAGCTCCCGAAGCGCCGGTGCTCAGCAAACACCGGCAGGTACCTGGGAGCAGCGAGTGGTGGGTTTGCTCTGCCGTGGGGTGAGGCTCCCAGCACCTGATGTTGTTCTGGGCAATGTCAGGGCTGGGGTCAGTTTACCCAGCGGGGCTGGGCAGACGTTGCTGCAGCCTCGGAACGGCTGGTTGGAATTACCTCCGCATGCTTTCATCAGAACGGCTGTTTGGAATTACCTCCGCATGCTTTCATCACCTGCTGGGCTCTATTTTGTACTGCCGACGTTTGCCTTTACTTTGGGATTACTCCAGAGGGGTTATCCTCCATCTCACCCCACGAAGAGCAGAGGATGGTGTTTGCATTGAGCAGCAGGCACTGGGGTGTGTTGGCTGGGCACCCTGATGGGGGGTCTTCTGCTCCCCTGCGAAAGCTGCCGGTGGACGCGGCGCAGGCTGAGGCTGTGTGCGTACACCGTGTGTTTGCTCAGGCAGAGAGTTGGTCTGTGGCTTCCCATCACCTTGCTCCAGCCCAGCCCAAACTCTTCTCGGCTGTCCCCAAATGCTGTTTTCACTCTGCTGGGGAGCAAGATGCAGCCGCAGCGGTGGGGTGGAGGCAGGCAGGAGCAGTCAGCCTCCCGTGGTCCCCAGGGCATGCCAAGGAGACACACAGGCAGGGGTTGGGGGGGGTGACAGTCTCATCCTGGAAAAACACAGGGGTGTAGCAGCAGGCATGCACACGATGGTCCTTACGGAGCACGGATTCCCCCATCAGCCTGCTTGGCTCTGCCACAGACCCCTTTCCTTGGCAAAGAGGAGTGGGGGTCTGCACACAGCAGGGTGGCTCTGGGGACACACATAGGACATGCCAGCAGGACTGCTTGCTCCTGGAGGGATTTTCAGTCCCCTGAGGCACTGCGTTGCCCAGCAAGGCTCAGCTTTGGTGGGGAGCTGCAGAGAATCTGTCCTGAGGCTTGTGGCAGTGAAAGAGCCTCTCTATGTCCTGGCAGATACATCCAGAGCCTTCTCAGTGCAGAACCAGCATCATGTTGTGTACAAGCATGGGAACAAGCAGCGGTTCGGGCAGCCTCCTGCTCCTGCCGTGGGTTTCCCTGCTGTGCCCTGCTGAGCTGTAGGTACCACCACCAGGTCTGAGCAGAGGGGCATGGATTTGCAATCTGTGGCCATCCGTGGCAAACTAAATGCCTGGCGTGGGGCAACAGCTCCTCTGGTCTA